TGTGTTGTGTGTGTTTAAGTGTTGTGGTTGAGGTGTCGTATGGCTTGGTGGTAAAAACTGTTATTAAGTCTTGACAGAAATATTACATAGATTTTTATTAACTGCATTGTTTTGCACAATACATTGCAAGCAGAAAGTTTATGTTCACAGTTTTTTACTATGGAGAAAAGGCTAAAAAACTGGGATTACAGGAGCAATTTAATTTAATTTAATTTAAGTATTGAAACGAGAGAGAAAACTACGTGGAGGGTTTTTTAGGCCCAGTTATATCAAACAGCTTTTCTTGGACGACATCTCGAAAGATAAATACCAAAATAATTACGGAGATAAGAGGGGAAGTGTTCACATTACACTCCTGAGTTTGAGAAGTTTATTCAGTGATATGAGTTTACATTGAATGATGAGAATCGAGATTTAGACCATGCTTTCTTTTTCAATGACCAACCACAAAACTAAAGCAGCCAGAGTCTCTGACTAAATCATGGCCAATCTGAGAAAACCTGCTGCTTTCCATTAACTTTGACCTATGACTAACAACAGCCAGCGCATTAGTTCCTCTCAGCGAACCTGTGATTTATGAAGAGTAGTGATTAATGATAAGAAAGAGCAAAACATCTACCCAGTGGTCCTATTTTTTCCTTCTTGCAAACACATCTTCCCCAAATCTCTACTTACTGATAGGTCTGCAAATTGCTTCTATAGCGTTGCCAAAAAGAAAGAATTTTAGGGAATTACATGTGCCGTTCATGCACTCGCTGCGGTGAATGAAATAGCTTTGCAATAACAGCCAAAACTGTTTAGCTTCCTGTTTTCATTTTGAATATTTACAGCGAACATTTGGAAAGATGTCGGAATGAGATTGTAAATGCTTCAAATAAAGACTGAACACAGGAGGATTTCCAAATGTTTGACTCCCTAAAATGTGTCAAATAAACACATGAGCATATTTTTATTGCTCATGTTGGGCTTGTCTCTTATACTTTAAAAAAAAAATTTCACACGAATAACTTGGACACTTCTGATCAAATCCAATTCCCAATTCCCGTCAGCGTGAGACGTTTTACCATACGTGCACTTTGCAAGAAACCGGCATTGGATGTTTTTTTGCTTTGAGCTGTAACACCATGCAAACATTAACTCTGTGTATGGTGATGTCGTTTATGAGTCTGTGTAATGCACGTGAAATAAATCTTATGCAGAAGTGACGGATATTCAACATTCATCTGCTGCACATTAAACGATGACTTTACTGCTGGCCTGTGCAAGTACTACGAGCATTGCACCACTATTGGTAGATTGGCCAAATTATGTATGAATGTGCACAACATAAAAGGTCAGTGAAGTTTTTGGACATCCTACCTTTCAGCATTTTGACTGCAACAGTCTTGCAGGTTGAGAGCTTGTCGATCCCAAAAGCAGAAGCCTCGACCACTTTTCCAAAAGCTCCATGGCCGAGTGTTTTGCCTGGCAAAG